ATCAGGAATTGTCCAAAAGTCATCGTCAGAGAGCTCTATAAATAATACGGAACAATCAGTTATCCACTCCAGTGTGAGCCTTCAAAATCGGAATGAAAGAAAAATTATGGAAACATGGCTAGTAAGTGGCTTCAGTATGCAATCCTGTGCCCTTCCAAGTTTGTACCCAAAATTAAATTTTTGGGAGAATTTGCTCAGGTTTCTTTGAAATATAATACTTTGGTTTTTCCTCGTCACAATCGTTGAGTTTTGAGTTTCATTTGTGTTTCTATCTTGACAAATGTCATTGTTTTATTTACTTTCTTTAGATCTTTGCATTATTGCTCAACAGGTCTTTTCATTTTTAGTTCATTAGTACTGCTGCACATTAATTCCTTTAGATTAAGGCTCTTCATTTTTTATTCTTACGTTCTGGTCTTTGTGTGTCTTTCACTTTATTTTTCTCAAATCTCTTCTTGTTTTAAAGTTTATGTCCTTTTTTAACTTCTCTTGGTTGTTATTCATATTCCATTAAGCTGCGTTTTCATTGACAATGAAACTTAAACTTACAAAAATATTACATATGCTTAATTGAAAGATGCTAAATTCTTAAAAACGAAAAGAAAAAAAAACTCAAGTTTTTCCATTAAATGGTTTTTGCACTAGATTTTTTTTCTGTATTGAAATGAGTGTCTTAAGCAAAAATAACTAAATAAAATAATAATAATAATAATAATAATAATAATAATATCAAAAATATTTTGCTACTACTGGGGAAAACCACAAAGAAGACTACAAAGAATATTTGACAAAGATTATTCAGGACCGTTTGGATAAACTTTCCACTTCTGAGTCTTATTGGCTTTTGTCTTATGAAGACTATGTTAATACATTGTTTATTTTGTCTTATTATTATTATTTGATTATTGACTTTTAGTTTCAAAATCTCTGTCATATTTAGCATATGGAGCCACACTTCATTCCAGTAGATGGCGGTAATGCACATCTAAACCTTGTTTGTCACCTGTCATTTAAGTATGAAGAAGAATAAGAATAAGAATAAGAAGAAGCTATTATATATATATTAAAAAAAAAGCGGTTGCAGGATGATGGGGAAGCATGTTTTTTAATGTCTTACCGTATGAATAAACTTATTCACATGTGATTTTAATAGCATCTCTGGAAAAACCGCGACTGTGAAATAGTTTTTTAGACATTAGCGGTATATCGACAAAGTTCTGTTCACACAGCCTCACTGCGTCGCCTTCTCTCCCAGCTGCACCCAGTTTTTAATCAACCACCTGCATCTTGGCAGTGAGCAGCAAAACCCACACCATGACAGTCGCCGACACATTTATTGGTCGAGCTTGGATATCGTCATAAAAGCATGGAAGGCACTGAAAATTTGTCTTTTTTATGTTCTGGATGAGAAAAGATAAAAAAATATTTGTGAAATTAAAGATACTGTGTGACGTTCCGCACAGCGTTGAATACGTTCCTTGTCAGAAATATGGCTGGTGTCTTAATTCTTCGAAAACCTTTCTGAATTTTTCTGGAGTCAGTTTTTCTTCTCCACCTTGTTCTGAGAAGTTTATTATTCCAGTACATGTTTGGCCCCTACTTCTTGCCCAGGCATATCTGTAGAATGTGCTTCTCTATTGACTTGTTGAAAAATGCATAGGAACCCGGTGGAAGATGTGCTCTCGAATGCAGCATGTTGCAGCGTTGTGCATTAAAGCTGCCGTCACTGAAGTGTAAATGAGGTGCTCCAAGGACACCGACTCAACTGCATATCATGCAGACTGCAAAGATTTCTCTCGAAAGCAGCTAAGAACACCGATTTAATCTTTTTCTAAAGTATGTAGCAACTCAACTTAATTTTTCTGATTAATTTGCTGCTCATTTGGTTCAATCAGAAATTAACAGTGGATATTTCCCAAACAGAGAATATGTGATCATATACTAGAACAGACTTCAAAGCGTTTAAAAGTCTAGATGCTATCATCTTTTTTGTACATGCTGATTTTTATTTTTCACCATGGTTACCATTGATTACCAGTGTACTTGCCATAAAGCTATGTTTGACTGCATTTCATTGATAATCTTCTAAATATAGGAACATAAATCTTTTTGCCTATAAAATCGCTGCAAATCCACAAATATACCGAGACCTGTCAGTCCTTGACAATAAAATGTTTGTTTTATATTCTTGTCTGGTTTTCAGAGCTCTGATTTTATTTTTTTAAATTAGATTTTTACAGTGAAATCACCTAAATAGACTACTAAATGTTTTATTGACGAGATTTCCCTGGTGTAAACGCACATTGTTTTGATGTCAGTCATCAGCGGGTCACTTTCTAAGAGCAGAATGTTGTGTGAGAAGAGTTCGCTGAAATCCTGTCATTACTGTGGGACAGGATGTAGTGAGTACAGAAAATGGACTGATGGATAATCACCAATTCTCTGTTGCCTTATGCCAAGTAGATGTATTTAGCCAAACTACATCTTGTGCACACACTACCTGTGTTTCCATTGCAAATGAACTCAAATCTTTCTCTATATTCTGCTATTGTTAGAAAAATACAATTTCACAATTGTTGGTCCCATTGGGTAAGGAATGAAAATGAAATCCCATGTGAATTAGCTTGCTCGTGAGTTAAGTCATTACAAATTGTACCTGTGACATATGTAAAAAGCTACATGGAGAGGTTCGGAATTCAGCCATGACACTGGCGCTCATCATCTACCAGGCATCAGAGGAGACGTCGTTATTTAGGTGATAGAGCTACAAGCCCCGCCTACTTGGGAACGGCTACATGTGCGGCATTTCGGGGGAAATTGGAGGTGATTCTACAGAAGAGTTATGGATTCAACACGTTGGGATGACAACTTTTTATGAACTGTGTGACACTGTGAAAACTCTGAAGCACATTGACCTAAAAAAACAAAAACAAGAACAAACCATCTTCCTTCCTGCTGTCTTCTTTGACGTTTCCACCAGTAGTAACGTGGGTTGTCTATCTTGTGTCGTATGAAGTGTTTCCATTGCAGCTTCGCTAAATACATCTATTTTGATATGGTTGGAAAGATAACCTTATCCCAGCGAGAACTGGGATGCAGCAGTTTATTTTTCCCAATTGCTGCAAATTCATTGAAAACATTTTTGTAATTTCAATTTCCACAATTCTACGGTCCATGGAAAAGTAACTCCTGTTTGCCAACACAATAGCAATTGCACACGACTCACTTCAGCTTGACTTTTGTCTTTAGACAAACCTGTGAATGAAATGTAAAAACTTGTCCACATCTCTAAGAGCCTTCAGTGTGAGATACCGCTCACATTGAGATCCTTGGGTTCAGTTTGTAAAAACTCTGTGTGTTGTGGACATGCATTCAGAATCCTTATGGTGCTGTCAAGAGGTAAAACCTGGTTTCGGTGTGATGTTGATGCAACTCCTGCCCGTACTGCCATTAATTATTCAAACTGGCTGTGCTGCTGTGATGCCACCCTAGGAACTGATCTGAGGTTAGTTGAGCCAACAACTCTCTCCCCCTTTATCCCCGACCTGCAGCAACATCACAAGGGCTCATGCGAGTAAATAATTAAAGACTGTGCTTTCAGTGCCCAAACCGGTCACCAAAACCAGATATCTTTCTTTGAGGGGAAAAAAAGTTTGAATTCCACAACAATGGTCACATTTTTCTGTGCATTGCAGGAGGTCCAAATGTGTCAAATCTGTGTTGATTTTTGAATTTATGCTCCTAAAGTAACAGAATGCCGTGAAATAATTCAGAAACTGGATCTGCTCAAGCTTCTTAGATTCCAAGTTTTTTTTTTGTGTGTGTGTGTCAAATTTATGACACATGGAAATCATGCCATGTATAAGGTTGGTTGCAAAGTCAAAAATTAACAGTAACTATTTGGGTTATTTAGCCAATCGAAAGAGGGGGGAAAAAAGTAGGTTCATTTTTGAAGTCATATTTTCACCACGATGTTCATTCATTAATTAATAGTGTGATGCAAACTAAATATTTGATGAGCAAGCAAAGTATTCAGTTTTACAAACTAAATATTTTGACTGTGCAGCTCTGCAAGCAGCAACCCATAAGCACATGGATAAACTGTAACACAAGACGGACAGGGGCGGTGTTAGCAGATGTTACGCAATCAGTCTCTCTGTGCATTTAGTTCCAGATTAGCAGAAACAGACCATGACATCAGGCTGGACAGGTAAATCAGAAAAACATCAGATTTCCCCCCCACAACGAAAATCCTAATCCCAGGAGTCATGGTTCTAATCCAGCTCCGGTTCATAATTGGATAGGAAGGCAGACCCAGTGGGGTGTGTGTGTGCGTGTGTGTGTGTGTGTGTGCATGTGTGTGTATTATTTTGTTGGCTCAAGTGTGAACTTTAACCCCCTTCTTCTTTCTCAACTGGCCCACCAACACAGACTGAAATGGACTAATAACATTATGCAGATAACTGTGGACTAATGTTTTTGGAGATTCCTTTAATAACAAGAAAAATAAATAAATAAAAAATCTTGAATTTGAAGCTAAAACAACCAGATTGATCCACAATAGAACTCTCTGATCAAGATCTTGGTTTTGTTGCTGAGAAGAGACCATTTTCTTTGTTTTCATTTTTCCTCAATTTAGCCTAAAACTAATAAGCAAAGCAACCTTTCACTGAACAAGAAAAAACAATCACAAAAATCTGATTCAAATATTTATTGCTTAGTGTATTGTTTATTGTTGAGTGAACTAAGCAGTAACTTATTTATTTTTTATTTTTTGACCCACAAGTACTTTTATACAATGTATAATCTCAACTGTTGCGTAAAAGAGAAGAAAAAAAAAAAGGAAATTTATGAAATTCGAATTTGCTGAAAAAACCACTGAAATTCTGATTTAGATTATTTTCTCAAAACAAAACATTAAATTTGAGTTGAAAAAAGTCAAAAGATTTGCCAGAACAAAAATCAAAAATTTTCTAAGTAAACTCAAAATTTATGTTGGATTTATATATATATTTTTTTCTTTTGGCGGAAATTTCCTCCTTTTTCTTCCTTCATTATACAGCGTCGATTTTTAGAGCTGACAATTTTGGGCCACGTGACAAAGTTTGGACCCCACTGACTACACATGAGGACGGGCTGAGTAAAGCGGCGGCGGCGGCTCGCTGCAGCTGCAGGACGGCAGGTGGCACCGCTGCGCCGCTCCTGCGGACCGCTCTTGGCTCGGAGACGCGTCCACGTTGTTCACACTGCCTGCTTTCGCTCCACTTCCCCTCTTCAGCGTCCCACCCTCACTCTCTGCCTCTCCAGCTTCCAGTGTGCACCTATCCGTCTCCCACAGGCATCCGCTGCCTCTTCCATCAATCTCCGCGCTCCTACGGCGCACAGAAAGCAAACCAGCACGGCAAAGGCGATGGGAACTCTGCGCCCGGAACGAGCGGTCTCCGCTGCGAGCCTCTGCATCTTCCTGCTGACCGCCGCGGCGGTGTGGACGGCGCTGCCCGGAGCCGTGCAGGGGAAGAGCGGGTCTTTTAGCCCGCGCGGCGGCAGCAAGGAGGATCGGACGTTTGACGCGGGCGGCGGCGGCGGGGAGCCCCGCGCCCGGAGAGCCGCGTCCTGGGATAAACGGATGTCCCTGCTCAGCAGCTCGTTTGTGCTGAAAGGAGATGCGACGCACAACCAGGCGATGGTCCACTGGACGGGAGAGAACAGCAGCGTGAGTAACCCGTCCCGTCCCGTCCCGTCACGAGCCGCCGGCTGCCCACCACCACACCACACCCCCCCGGTTTATCAACTTCCAGCATCCATCACCCCCCACCCCCTCCCTCCAACCCCACCTCCTCAAACAGGAGGAAGACTTATTCATTTTATTTATTTATTTATTTTACGCGTCCAGGTGCTCCATCTGCACGCGCTCTGGATGGGCTTTTGTTGTCATGACACCTTGTCCTCCGTCCATGTCACACAGCGCCAGGATTCCTGGCCTGTTTTGTCGGTCAACTCCCAGCTTCAGCCACGGCGGTGCTGATCAACTTGTAGAAAACTACTCTGCGTTCATTAGTGCCTCTGTGCGTTATTCCGTTCCGTTCCGTTCCGAGGGAGTCCGGCACGGGTGCGTGCGCGAGCGCGTCTGGAGACGAGCAGCGCGCGCGCTGGCCATGACAGAAATGATAATGAAGCTTTGTTAGACAGGAATGCTGCATTACTTTAGGTAATGATGATAACGGAGGTACGATGCCTTTCAAAAGTATTTTTTTTAACTTGTTTATTAATGTGTAATTGTTATATGATGGAGGGACATTGTTATGAAATGGGAAGGATGCATGGCTTTCAGGGTTTTGGGTAAATATTCTGAAAGGTGCGGCATGTTTTTAAGGTTATCTTATCAGATAAAGGTAGATTGATTTTGTTTTAATTTTGTAATTATTCCATCGTTTTCTTCAGCGATAACATCTTTCCATGTGACCAGTTCTCATTTGTTTTATTCACCAATTAGATGGTCTTACAACTCTTATTTGTTCCGACCTTGAATTCGGGTCAATTCACAGACGGAATTATTGAAGTGAAAGCCAGTTCTTGAAAAAAAATATTTCCTGTGACTGGTCATTTTAAAATGAAAATGAAACCAATTAAGATTGAAATTGCTATTTTAAAAAAAATCTGACGTTATTTTTAAGCCGTGTCCCGCAGCCCTAGTTTCACACGCAGGTATCGATGAATCTCTGCCTCACCTGTCTGCTCCGTTTCAGTCTTTATGATGATCTGTTCTCTAATTCCTGGATTCATATGGAGTTCGAATCGCAGACAGACTCTTGTTTACATTCAGTGATTCCTGAAGGCAATTCATAATATCCTTCATTTTATTTAAGGGTATCAGATTGAAGGGACTGCTGATTAGAAATGCAGGATTTTGCTTGTAAACAAAACGCTTGAAAACCACGCATCTCTTTCCTGCTACTTGACAATCACACCCTATTGTTTCTGTCACAAGAAATTCCAATTAAAATTCAGTAAAGTTTTTACCCGTAAAATGACGACTTGACAAGGGGTGTGAAGACTTCTTTTCAGACAAATGGCCTTCAGAAATCCCAGCAGCATTCAGCTGCAGTCACATGTTGTCTTCCTCTATGTCTGCAGTGATATCTGGAGGATATCCTTAGGAATAAAAACGGCAGTGTTGAAATTAAAGGCTTTGGATTCAGTCTATGGAGAGCGTTGTAAACAAACGCAGCGTCTGTGAATGGATATTGACAGACACCAGGTGGGGGGCGGGAGGGGTGGGGTGGGGTGGGGGGTGTTGGTGACTGCTGGGGACGTCCCCAGCAGTCAGAGGCGTTTTTGTCTATAGTTGCTGTTCTGCCGCCAGACGAGTCTGGGAGGAGGAGAAATGACCGCTTGCTGGATTGAGACAGATTGTTTGGTGAATAATGTGACGTGTGCACGATGTATTATGGAAGGCAAGATAGAGCTTGAATATGTGTGTGCGTCTTGTATTGATTTAAAGCCAGTGGAGAAGGTGAGAGAGCAGAAAAGAAGCTGCAGATTTGGAGAATTAGAAGAATGAAACTGAGGAAATGCTTTGAATGCAAATCTGTGTTAAAGGGGAGCTGCTTTGGACTGCTACATTTTGCTTGCTGGAGCTTGTAAACTAACATTTTTTTGTGTTTGGAGCTTTTTAACCTGTGATGCTAAGACTGTAATTATGCAATTTTCCTCTTAAGAAATACAAGTATTTCAATGTTTCCCATTCAGACGTTTCTGTCATTGCTGCACTTTTCCCCACATCAATCAGGAGTTTTCACCTTAACCAAAGATGCCATTTCACTCTACAATTTGTCCATTGTACTTCAAGCCTTCGTTGTATTTGGCAGCTGGAAGTTCTAAGTTCCAGGTCAGGAAAAAGACCTGAACTCCTCCTGAAGTCAGAGGTTCAGAAGCAGTTCTGAGCTCTTAGCAAATATGGCCGCCATGGACAAAAAAAAAAAAATTGCTAAACGTGTTCGACCTGCTGCTTATTTACACTTAACACAGGGAGCGGAAATACTGCAGCAACATATGCAGTAAATAAAAACACAATTACTATTTGTGAATAAATCCAGTTAGCTCAGAAGTCACAAGATGAAGAGAAATACATTTGTGTTTAACAATGATTGGTCTTTCTACCACACACAAAAACTAGATAATCCCATTTGGTTTCAGGTATTATGAACTTTTAATTGTGCAATTACCATCATGACAGCCATTAGGTAGATACATTAATTTAGAGTGTATATGTAGGAGGACAATCTCAGGGCCAGAGAAAGAGGGCGGTTCCTGGGAACAGGAAGTGATTCACAGTAGATCCACTAGATTTAGCATCAACTAAACAGCTTGCTCAGCAGCGAGTTGGATACACCTAGTGGTTAATCTGCTCTAGTCAAACAGATGTAGATCTAAAAGCAAATACAAAAAGTTTTAAATGAGTCTCTCTTTAAGATTAAGTACAAATTACCGTTTAAAATAGTCCTGAGATTCCCAAGCAGCTCAGTGTTGAAATCATAGTACATCTCAGAAATATCTTATGGTAGAGTGATGCTTTGGCATTTAAGACTTCATTCAACTAATAAAGAACTGACATTCTGCTGCTGGACTCCTGTCTGTCTTGTGAGAAACTTCCGCCATATATTTTTTTTTCTCCAAACGAGGCGATAAATCCGCAGGGATCCTCATGCCCAGCACTCAGCTTGCTTCCAGAACTCCAGGCCTGCCTTATACTCAATTAACTGCATGTGTACACTGAAAGGTCGAAAAGAGGGAGTTCATCTCGGTCTAATAAACACAGAAAAATGGGGCCATTCAATTCCTCTAGGGTTGACATTTATGAGCAGTGTGCAGATGGATGGAAGGTAAAAATGAATCTCCACCTTTTTCTGGTTTCATTATGTCAATTTTGAGTCTTTAAGGTTCCTACAGGTAAATCTCTGCTGAAAGGGTCAAGAGCCCAGGTGGCTTCCGTTCCTGCATCAGTCTCGATAATGTCCGCTCTGACGTAATGGAAGCCACCCTCCACCTCTTAGACTCCAAAGTGCTTTAGCAAGAAGATAAATCGCTCCAATAGTTTGCTAGTAAAAGTGCTGTTGTTGAAACCAGCTTCATGTGAGCTTTCCTGAGTTCTTTTTTTTGAAGGGACATTCACTTTTCTTTAGCTACCTGTGATTGATGGATGAGGTCGCAGTACAGCTTTTTCTTGGACAACCTCCACAGAACAGGAGTGTTTGCATGTGTGTGCGTCAACTTGTATTTGATACATTGAAAGGCTCATCTTTTTTCTTAACAAATGCTACATTATGCAGACCCATTAGTCTTTATGGGACCCAAAGTATAGGCCCCAGGAGAGTTTTTTTGGTGGCAGGAGGGCAGGTTTAGGATTTAAGGTATAAATTTAATTTAGGTTAGGGTTAGAGTTTGACTTCCATTCATTTCTGTACCCTGACCATAAACTTAACCATTTCATGCCAAAGTCTCCTTGAATAGAGAAAGACACGTGTGTGTGTGTCTGTGTAGAGGAAAAAATTAGATTAATTTTTTTGTTTTCTACAACAAAAATTCTATACACTTTCATTCATATCCTACAGCATCTGCATTTGAACCCTGTAATGTTAAACAAGATTTAGTACAAATGTCAAATGGAAAAATATGAGGGAAAGAAATCAATGTTACATAGATTTTTATGTAGCTAGTCACATGACAGCAATTCCTCTCATTACATATGCATGTACATTGAATATTATATACATGTATATATCAGTTGCTTGTTCAAATTGGGGCAGCAGCGGTTATTGCAAAAAATATTCCTTTGAATAACAATGATGTAAACACAGATTTAAAGACAAGTTTTTAAATTTTAAAATCAGGAACTGGTCCTTAAGTGATACAGGGACATGCCAAAACTCCACGTGTGTCTAGTCTAAAACAGAAAATTAAAGTGTAGCTAATGTCTAAAAACCACATCACACTTTTGGGAATAGTGTTCTTTTTCCTTTCAACCGTTCTCGTCTCACAACGCCAGCATAGTTTCATGCCCACTGGATGGACTACGATAAGGATAAGTTCCAATGAAACCAGACTGCTGCCTCATAGCTCTTTGGCATGTGGGCTTGCACAGATGTCACAATATGCTGATGTTGGAATCAGTGGGTATGTAAGGACACCCACGCATGTTGATTCATCCCTCACCATGTTGGTAAGAAGTACACCCCACACTCAGAGACTTTCCAGCAAGTTTCTCCAAAAAGTCCTAAAGATATTCTGTTTTTTGCATAAATCAAAATTTTAAAGCTTTTAAAGCTCACAAAAAGTGTGAGCATACACTTTTTGTGTATGCTCACAATATTTCATCATGTACCTATTTTACAGTTATCATTTGTGAAACATAAATCTGACACTTGATTCATGTCCCACCATTAGTTTTCAGAAAAGAAAATCATTTTAGTGGTAGGGGGTGGGCTGGCAGATGGCGGTAATACATCTACTGTCAGCAGGGGAAAAAAAACACAAAAATCTTTTCCCCTTTAATTTTGTATCATCTTACTTGCATAACAGCTTACATAAAATTCCACAAACTTCCTCAGTTCGGAATGCTGAATGGCATATTGAGCTTTCTGGTCTGGTGACAGGCATATCACACATAATTTTGGCTTTTCGGAGAATAATTGAAACTTAATTTTTTGCAGATTA